GTTTCTGTAGAGTGCAATTTGCAAAATCCAGACTGAAAAACGTCCATAATGTCATTTTTCCTCCAAACAGCAAATCAATTGCTCAGCTACCACCTTCTCCAGGATTTTTGATAAAAATGGTAGTTTGGAGATCGATCTGTAGCTTTCAGGCAGAGAAGAGTCTAAATTAGGCTTTTTTAAGAAAGGACAGACAACAGCTGTTTTGAAGCAGTGGGGTACAGAACCAGAACCAAGGGAGTAATTTATCAGTTTTACAACACTTGGGCCAATACAGTTAATAATATGTTTAAAAAGAGAAGAGGACATCAAGGGGGCTAGAGGACATTTTCATTCGACCCAACAGTTCTGTGATGTCCTGAATTGTCCCTGGGGTGAATGAGGACCATGTATCAGAGGTCACATGAGGAAATGCTCGGTGAATTAATTCATATGTCGCTTTTCCTCGACATATGAATGAATGCATCCATGCTTTGACACGTTTGATCATTTAGTGCCTTGAAACGCAGTTTTTGCTTTGATAATACAGTWTAATATTGTTTAGGTTTGGTAAAAGAGTTGGAGCCCACAGCTCTAAGTCTCCAAGAGGTCTACTCACAAGTCTGCTGTTCCCTATTGACAGAATGAAGTCAAAAAAAGGCTCCAGACCAGCTTTCACTGCAGGTGAGTTTTCCTGAACCTGAAACACAAAACAGCAGATTTTAGACATGTAGTAAAACTGATGTGTGTGAACATTGTTCTGTCGCCCCCATGTGTCAACTACAGGTACTACAGCTGTAAAAAAATGCAGCACTCGAAAAGTATCGCACAGCTTGCAACACTCACATAGTAATATTGTTTATCGAACTTTAAGTTTTTATCTCTTATTTCACCAACAAGACTTTTAATTTTGTTTCAGTTCCAGCACAGTTAGCAAGTTCGCGCGTATCTCCCATACAAAAACATGGCTGTGGAGTCTGTAACCTTGTACTCAACGTACCCCGTGGACATGATATCCACAGTTACTTCCACCGTCCGACAAAAGCGAGCTCTGCGGTAACCCCATCGTTTTTGGTAGTTACGTTACGAACTAAACGTCACTGAGGTAGAAATATGTTCGCAGTCATTATAGGCGCGGGTATTACGCCTGAGTTTGAGCTAGCGCTAGCAGTGAGGGCAGGTGGACAGCAGGGCAGTGAGAGCCAGGCAAAGCTAACAAAATAAAGATGCCAGAAAATTCGATCGAATTTTTTTCACGATACTCTACTAGTCTTCCCTGACGTAATTTTCTACGTTGTTGCTAAGCAATAAACAACATAGACGAGTTGCGCAATTATCGCAGTTTTTATTTTATTATGTGTACGCTATACAAAACAATGTGTATTTTTTTATTGTTTTATCATTGATAAAACATAATATTATTTTGTGATGTCTGAACTTACTTAGGATAAAACCAGCAAATCTACACATTTACAAAAAAAATCTTTATTTTTTTGTTGTTTTTCTTTTACATACAACAGCAACTATTGAAAATCTATCTCTAGATCATTTTTCTGATTTTGTTTTGTATTAATCTATTTTTTTAACCAAGCACATTATTTCATAAAAAACACATTATAAAACAACACCATTAGAAAGACTAACAGTCTGAATCAAGAACAAGTAATATTTTATACATATAACCTCACTWAAGAACATTTCTTTAKATTTAAATTGAATTTACTGTTTTTATACACAAGAAACATATCTGTATGTATTGCACATTTTGTTAGGGAATAACATCAGCCTTTACAAGCTGTGGAACACTTTCTTCTTCACACAGGCTGTTGATCCATTTAAACAGTTATCTTTTGGAAAGGTTTTTGCTAGACTCACAAGTTTCTCAGATGGTTTAGTTGACACTGYATCCACGGCCTGCACCTGTTCTTTTCCCAACACGATAAAAAGGAACAAGTTCTCCTGCATTTGATCCTTAGAAATTAAATGTTGAGGTTACAAACGGGGCTCTGGCACACATATTTTTTTTTTTGTAAATCATTCACCAGTAGAGGACAATTATGGACAAATTCTGAGGACTGATCCACTCAGACGAACTTGACCTCGGGGTTTTGAAGGTCTTCCAGCATAAAACTGATATAAAAAGCAAACTGCAGTCACTTTACTTTTTGCATCGCAGTCTTCCAAAACATGATTTTGCTTGTGGCTCTCCTGTCCTGCTTTGGTGAGGCTGCAGCAGCGTTTACATTTTAAAATGTTTGGTGCAATTTAGAGCTCTTTTTTTGCAGACATCTAAACTGTCACTGTGTCTTCTGTTTTCCAAAAGGACTGATTTGTGCTGAAACACCCTATCATGACCGGGTCATAGGAGGCAGTGATGCCAAGCCGAACACCTGGAGGTGGCAGGTAGAYCATTTGAACTTTTTATTCTCGTATCATCTCAACTCAAGTGTGTGAAATCCTCTTTTTGTTTGCGCTCAGGTTTCCCTGCAGTTCGACTCATACAACGATGGCTACTTCTATCACATCTGTGGAGGGTCCATTGTTGATAGTTTCTACGTCATGACTGCTGCTCACTGCATCCTCAGGTTTGSGTTCTGAACGGGTCAATGATCATTTCTGCAGGCTTGAATTGACAGGAGTCATTTTGTTTTGTTTTGTTTCGATCAGCATGGATGCCAGTCAGTACCGTGCGGTGGTGGGTGAATACAACCTGTTTGAAAACGACAACAGCGAGCTGGTCATTCCCGTGGAGACGATTATTGTCCATCCTGAATGGGTTGGAGATCTCGGCAAAGGGTAATAAAAAGAGGGATTTGAACCGGCGACACAACTGTCGGCTCATTTACACTGTAGTCACCRCTTCACAGACAGGGCTTGGAACATTTTGGATAATGYCGAGAATCTAAATCTAATCTGAGCTKTTTRGTTATTTGTAATATTTGTTCTAGTTTGCTGAGTTRAAAGTAATATTTGATACAATAAACTAGGAAGCAATTCAACAAAGTTTATTTGGTAGAAATCCATTAATCGAACAAAGGGACTAAAAGTCTAAAATGCTTTAAATGAGATGAGGCCATGTGCTGAAACATGTCTAGTATACCTTGTGTACTGTAGCACTAATCRAAATATTAGCTGCACTAACTCAAATATTTAGGTCCCCTAATTCTAAAGCACTAACACACTGAAAGTTTTAGCAAAAGCTAATTCTAAAGCACTAATATAATCCAGTTGACACACGAAACATTCTTCAGAGTCAACATGAGACAATATTTACYKTGTGMAGAAYKTTGTCAYTTAGTGYCCTTGCCGGGCCAAATGGGAGTCACCYGCAGGCCACATTTGGCCCGCGGGCCTTGAGTTTGACACATGTGACCTTGTAGATACACACATATGAACAAAATGTGTGACAGCTTTCACCCTCATCTGTGAACAATAATGTTGATCAATAACATTTAAAGGCCTCAGTTAATGCTTTTAAATTTAGCCCATGACTTTAGCAAGTGCTAATCCACTAATAATTTATAAAAAATAGCAAAAGCCCTAAAGCATCAGGAAATTTTCCCCCTATTAGTGCTTCAGTGCTTTAGGGGCACTGTGCCCACCACTGTTGTGTACATATTAGGCACTAGTAGGACACAAATGTTTCTTCTYCCTGCAACTGGTTTAAAGCTGCCTGTCATCACCTCTGTAGGGGTGTAGTAATTTTACAGAGTGACACTGGAACAAAATAGACTCAAACACAACACAAACAACCAAAAAAAAGTAACTGGTTTCTAAAGCTTTCAAAGACTTTTATTAAAGTAAATGTAAAAAGTTTTCCAAAAAATAAATGCCACAAGTAAAGTACAAATTCTCATGAACTGTGTACTTCCTTACTTACTTAGTCATCCTTCATAGTGGACTTATGACCTATTATTATGGTCAAAAGGTTGTTTTTTTTTTTGCTAATATTCAAATTTTGGGCGCACACACACACACACACACACACACACACACACACACACACACACACACACAGATGCAGTCGTGATCAGTTTAAATGAGACTTCCACGTATAAACTGTGATTTCTAGCTTTTATATCTGTCTCTCCAAGAAACGATATTGCTCTCCTGAAGCTGTCCACTCCCATCTACGACAACGGTTTTGTGGAAATTGCCAATCTTCCGTACCCTGGCCAGATGCTGCCTCATGGTTTCACCTGTTACATCACAGGCTGGGGATCAATGGACCGTAAGCATCATGTGCAAACATTAGAAACGCACATGTTGATCCAAAAACTGAACTATATATATACATATGTTTTGTTATGCAGATATAGGAAGCACCCCTGCCAAACTCCAAGTGGCTCCCATAAACGTGGTGGAGCACGCGGTCTGCTCCACGCCTGAGTGGTGGGGTAGCCTCGCTCTGGAGACGATGCTGTGCGCCGGAGGGGATGGCATCATTTCAGGCTGCCACGTACGGAGAACAAGAACATTTTTTAGAAAAATCTGAGAGGAGATGCTTAACTCACATGTTCTCCTTGTTCAGGGTGACTCTGGAGGTCCCCTGAACTGCATGACTGATGGCGTCTGGAGAGTCCACGGCGTCGTCAGTTATGGACCAGCCGGCATGTGCAACCAAGTTTCTAAGCCCACAGTTTTCACCCGAGTTTCATCCTTCATCGACTGGATATTCTCTGTAAGCCTCCTCAAATGTTCATCATTGACTATTTTCCACCTGGAGTGATGAATTTACTTATTATTCTCTTTTTTCCAGGCCATGGGGCAGAACCTTTAGACTGCAGAGCAGCGATGTCTAATGTTCAAATGGAGCCAATAAAATAAAATTCGCAATTATCTAAGGCATTTCTGTGTAACTTTAAGTTCTTGAATTAAAAATTTTGGTGAATGTTTTTACAGTTTTGCCATAAAACACACAATTTTTCTTTGATTTGATGCAGATTTTMCAGTCAAAATTAACGTACTTCTCATTAAATTCACATCACGTTGCTGTTTTTAATTACAACCAGTCTGTCGGCTGTAAATTATGGCTAAACGCTCATTGGTTGAACACCATCAAAGTGGTTACAAAGCTGATCTTTTGACCTCCTAAGCTGTAGCCTGAGATGGTGGAAAATTCCAAAGGATGTTTTAAATCAGAGATCACAGGAAAGTGACATTTATCAGATGGAGGTAAATCTGTATTTAATGTTGTTCRGATTAGGTCAAGCCAAAAGATTTGTGCAATGTTTGCCTTTAAAAAAAACAACATATATCCTGAACTTTCTTAATYATAGCCAAATGTGCGTTTTATGGAGTCACAAACCCGACATCGACTCCTCGTGTGGAATTTCTGGCCATGTGTTTGTGGTAATGCGCAGGAAACTACAGCATGACATCATTTTAGCTGGTTTTTTCTAAACCATGGAGACCAGAAAAGCACAGAAACATACGAGTGGGTTTGTTTTTTCAGGGTGAAATGAGGATTATCTTTAATGGTGTTTTTATATGTTCACTGACTGGATGAATGGAACCAAATTAAACTAAAAACAGCAGTTAGTTCAGATGTTTTAAAAGGGAGGTCCTGTGGAAAGACTACAAACAATAAGTTACAGTTTGTGCTTTATGAWTACTATTTTTGGGTGAATTTGATCAAAATTAAACAATTTCCTCAGCTTGAGCTCGTTCAAGTGCAACAGGTAAGATGTTGATTGTTCATGATCTTTCTACAAAACCCTTTTGAGTTCACCTAAACATTCATATTTTGTTAAATAGTTTTAAAGTTACTTATAAGATCTTTAACTTTCCAACACATGACAAAATGAAACAAGTGTTTATAAAATGATTTTTTTATTGTTATTTGGAGGGACAAGCTGTCAAAATGGTTTAGATGAAAGAAATTGTTTTTTTTGAACAGCAGGTTAATGTGTGAAAATATGTAAAAAATAAAGCAGCTTTGTTTGCTCTGCAGGACCTTTCAAGCAGAAATATGCACAACACAAAAAGGCAAAAAAAAGTAAGACACGTTCTTTTGAAATAAAAATATATAAACCGTACTGTCATATATTACACTGATAAACACTCACTGTTGACATTTCTTCATGAGATTCGATGTTTTATACAAGAGAAATATTTGCTTGCAAAAAAAGCGAAAAAATTAGTGCCATCACTGTGGCATACAAACACATAATCAGATGGATTTAAAAGCAACTTTTTTTAAAAAAAAAAAGGCAAAAAGCGGATAATACAATTCCATTGTGCACAATGTGCACTTTTCAATGTATACAATTAATCAGAACAAGTTTTAACAAACAGGACCTGCATGCATAATTTCTAAAGGGTCCAGAAAGCCTGATAGAAACAGCTGTAGAAAGGGTGAGATATGTACATCAACTCTTTTTAGCGTCCCTCTGCTCTTCACACAGGCGACCGCACAATCACCTCCGTTTTATAATCAACGAGGCAACTTCTCTAATCATCTCAGGTAAAAACTGTATAATATATGCAGTTCTTAGCCACAAAAACCTCTTTTTATAGCATATTTTCACCCAAGTCACAGACTTCCAAATGAAAATTCAGAGTACAATCAAATTGATTTTTTTTTTTTGCTATTTCAGTTTTAGTGACATTTCTCTAAGTTATTTAATCATACGGCTGCCTATGAAAAATACTTCAGAATGCTCCAGAAAGCATTAACCTTCATAAGAATACATTTCTCTATAAGTCTTATATTACAAAGGCTGTTTTCCAGATTGAAACTTACTCATTTTTACTTTCTTAATAAAATATTCAATTTGTCAGTGATTAGAATTCTTTCCTCATCCTACATAAATTAGTTAGAAAATATTAGTTAATTTTTCTATGGTTATATTAGAGGCAGCAATATAATAGACCCATAATTTTGTTTCAGTGATTAGGGAGGTTCCACAGTTTTCAGTCCCAAAAGCTTAAATGGAAGCACTGAGCACGCACACGCACACACACGCACACACACACGCACACACACACACACAGAGCCAAACACACATTCACACCACAGGCAGGCATGGCTCCCCCTGATAAACAGGCACATCCAGTAAACTTTACAAAAGCCCGCGTTATTGCCAAAACATCTTAAATTAAATAAACTAATGAAGTAAAGACAGAATAACTTACAACGGAGAATACATATTAAATACTTTCTGATGGACGTGTGGTCCCGTTTTCCAGAACAAAAAAAAATACCTAAATGTGTTGCGGAATAACAGAAGAAAAAAAAAAAAAAGAAAAAAGATTGCACATTTAGGTAAAAACAAACCGCAGTGCTGCTTGAATGAATGGAGGCCTTTTTTTTTCTGTCTGAAATAAATACGACAATAAAGAAAATAATTTAAAGTAATAAAAGAAAACACAGATACAGCTTTGATATTCTTTTTAGGAGTACACAAGCAATAATTGCGGTTGCTCAGCTCATAAATAAGAAACTCCATAACTTAGCGTTGAACTGTTGAATCCGTCCCGAACGACCAAAACAATGCCTAWGCGTACATAACTAGTTTCACAGATAAAGTGCTGATCAAGGAGCTTTTAGAGGGATTTCTTTTTTTGTACCATTTAAGACTCTTCAGATAGATCCTGAGGTGCACTGCCTTTAAAGGGATAGTTCAGATATTTTGAAGTGGGATTCTTTGGAAAGGTGCAGCTGTAGATATGTCTTTGAATGACCTCAGTTTAGGGAAACTGGGATTAGATTGACAAGCTAACGGTCCATCAGAGTGCAACTATGGCTAAAGTGGATTGCTGCTGTTTTAGAACAGTTCCAATCCTAAAATAGTCATTATTGTAATTTTTATAGGAATATCTTTATTACGATATTCCTGCTAGAATTATATATGAAAATTGATAGTGGTATAAATAATAATAGTGTTCACGTGAATCGGTATTAATTCAATGAAGCTGGAGTTTTAAAATAAGTTTTGAACCTGCCTTTAGTTACTTTGTCAATCGAATTCTAACAAATTTCTACCCAAACAATACTGAGGTTGTTCAATAAGCAGTTTTTAAAACAGATAATTGTTCTTTACCCTTCCACAGAACCCCGCTACAAAACACCGGAACATCCGGTGTCACCACTTGCTTCAGTCGTCTGACTGCAAGCACGAAGGCAGGACACAAACAGAACTATGTCGCGATTCACTCGGGTTTCGTATGAAGGCAATCACAGCAATGGTCACCACACATTGCCTCCAAAAGCTAGAAAGCTAGAAATAAAAATATCCCTGAGGTGCACATTCAGCTGTGTTGAGATTCCCAACCTGGCCACAATAAAAAAAGGTTGATTCCTGTTCTGAGCGTGTGGTTGGTGATCTTGGTTTGGTTTAAAAGAGCTTCCTTAGAATTTGCGAGCCGTCGTCGTTTTTCTACGGGTCTGGTCCAATTAATGTYGTCTCTTTTTCACGTTTAACCCTAGCTGCCGTCTCACACAGCGATAATCCCAAAAACCCGCTCCGCTGACGCTTTGAAAGGCAAGTCTGGAATCGGAACATGTATTTAGGCGAGAGAAAAATCACAGCTTCCTCCAACATGTTTGACATCTTATGTGCATTTTTTTTTCAGTTCCCTTTCTAAACCCCCCTTTTTTGTTTCTTAAAATGTCAGACTTTCACAGACTCCATCACAGACAACTTCATGGCTTCCTCCATCAGCTGATTGTCCGTAAATGTAGCGGGGGGTTCTGGGACGGATTCCGAAAGGCCGATCAGAGACTCCAGGAGGCAGGTCCCGGGGTCGCTCGCTGCGGGAAAACTGGGGCAACTGGGCAACTGAAACTGGAAATAGTTGTCCATGTGCTCGTATTCCTTGAGGGAGTTGTAAAGYGAGCTGGGGCCCAAACATGGGAAGCCGTCGAAGAACTCCAGGTCCGACTCAGACGAGAGGCTCAGGTCCATGTTGTAGCTTGCCGTGCGGTCGATTGTAGGGGAGGGGGTGTGTGGCACGCTGCTACTGTGAAACAGGGCGTTTCCCTGGTTGGCGTTCTCGTCCAAAAGTTCTGAAATGGCTGTAGCTTGATTGTCCGTAAGACTGTCTGCAGAGTCCAACAGCGCAGCATCTATATTGTCATTCTCATCTGCAAAGTCCACCATGCTGAAGCTGCTGAACGCCTCGGTGGATGGCTCCGGTTTCGCTTGCAGCGGACCCGAGCGGCGGGCGTCCACACCGCTCTTGTCCTCGCTCTCGCCGCTCTCCGTGTCGCTGAAACGCAATATCCGGCTCAGGCCGTTCTCGTCGACGTCCAGCGAGCTGCGGCGCCAGCTCTCGCCCGCCTCGGAGTCCTCGCTCTGGCGCGAGGAGTCCGACAGGTCCGTCGTGTCGCTGCTGCAGGTGTTCTCCCCGGCCGCGGCCAGCGCCGAGCTGAAGGGGAAGGAGGGCGCCGCCGAGAGGGACGCCGCCGAGAGGGACGCCGCCCCCGCGGTGCTCCCCTCCTCGTCCTCCTCCGTGCCGGACTGCTCCTCCAGCCGCTTCTCCAGCTCCAGCTTCATGATGGTGTGGATGTAATGCGTCTGCACCCGGGTGGAGTTGAACTCGACGCGGCCCTCCGTGTTTCCGCATCCATCTTTGGTGCAACCACACGGGAAGGAGGAATGGTCCATCTACGAGAATTAGAACAAAAAGTTGAATTGTTTTGTAAAAGAAACTTCCATTTGTACGTATTGTTTAGGTGCACTTGTGTGCTTGTGGTTTTTTTTTTTAGGCTCTTACCTGACATTTAATGCCAGCGAGGCTGCAGCTGCACGTCTCTGGCTCGCAGAAACCCTGGCAGTCACAGCCGCAGTTCTCCCTGGAGATCCTCAAGTCGTGCAGCTGCTTCTTCTCCTCCTTGTCGATCTTCTTCACACCTGCCGCTTTGAGCAGTGCGTAGCGCTGTTTGGACGGGTAAGGCTGGAGAAAAGAGCCCTCTTCCAGGTTGGCGCCACTAATGTCGACGTTCTGTTCCGGGATGTCGTCCAGCGTCAGCCGATCCGCCTCCTCGCTTTCCTGGGTCCCATTCTTCGTCAGCTGAGGTCGAAGAAAAACAGCAGTCACGTTTAAGCGCCACGTTTCTAAAGAGAACAACTTTTCGGTTGATTTTTAGACAAAACCAGGTATTTCTCACCTTCTGTTTGAGAGCTTCCAGCTTCTCCTCCCTGACTCTGTTGAGGAGTTTTTCTCTGCGCAGGAGCCGCTGCTGCACAGCGAACTCCGCCAGCGTGTACGTGCGCAGCGCGCTGTGGCGCTGCACCATGCCCAAGGTGCAGCCTCCTCGACTGGGAACGCTGGTGAAGCCCTGACACCGAGGGAAGGAGAACACGGTCACCTGGTTGAACGTCACATTGCCCCGCCTCAGCCTCTTGGATTTCTTGAGGATGGATGTTGCTGCGAAGGGACGAAAGGACAGGTTCAAATACAAAACCCTTCCAAAACAAGGAAGCAACATCTCAGAAGGTGAAGCTGCATTCTCGTCTGCCACTAGATGGCACAATGCTCCATCTTTGCGGTCTAATGCAACTGAATAGATTGTAAAAGGAAACCGCTCTGATTCATTGCCCTGGCATCATGTACTCAATTAAATGATAACAGTCCAACACTTACAACCTGTTAGGAGGTGAAACCTAAACTCCCCGGGATCAATTCTTTGTGTTGGTGTGCCACTAAAAACGCCCAACCCAGGAATTCTTTATTTATTTATTTTTAGAACAGAGAGGAAGTAGAACAGCTCAGGACATAAAGTTATGGATTCCAAGTAAGGTAGGAGGAAGTTCAGCTCTTGAAAAAAATTTAAAAAGACATTCCCGTCCATCACTTTATACACAACCAGCTCCCAGAACGTCTGGTCTCTTCGCTGAACAACTTAGGATCTACATCCATGAGCTACCTTCCTATGTACCCAGAAAAATGCCATAAAAACATAATGAGAACTCAAGTGGAACCATATGTCGAAGACAAAACCTCCAAAAAACTCCTCCACCCTGGAATTTTAAACATCGAGCCTCACTTTTAAAGGAAAAAAAAAAGGGAAGAAACCTTTTCTTAAGGACAGGCTCAAGCTGTGATCTTTCATTTAAAAAAAACTTTGGTAATCCCCTATCCATATGGTGGCTATTACCATTGTTATGTGGAGAGAAACGTTGAAGAATCCCTGTAGGAACCCAAGCGGCTGCCTTGTGACACACTCTGAATGACTAGCGTTGACATTTACAAAAGTTGGAAAAGAAAATTAGCGCACCCGGTGTGATAATTGAACCTCGAATGGGAAAAAAAAGAAGAAGAAGAAGTGTGGTGGTGGGGGAAAGCAAAGCTTTGTTCCCATTGACATAAGCAGCACACAATGGTCTCACTACGTTGTCTAATCTGCAGCCAGGAGTAACACAGATGAAAGAAAAATCCCGCTTCAGCTCCACATCTATCAAACTCAGTCAGGTTTACGACGCCAACATGAGACAAACGACACCCTTCTCYGCGGCTTTTCTAAATCAAATATCCTCACAGGCTGTTCTTCTCCTTTCACTTTCACAATRGCAAACATCTTTCTGTCCAACATAAACACCGGATCATAGCGGCCCACTCCATCAGCTTCTCTAGATGAATGTGCATGCCTCGATTCTTGATCCCCCCCCTCCCCTTCACTCAGCTTCTTTCAGCACCTGTGTTGGGTGCACGCCCAGGTTTCAGACAAGGCGCTGTGTGTTCCTGGCCTTGGCAGCCGGCCACGCTTCTCCTCCTGGCTTCCTGCCCYGCCGTCCTGGAAAGCTCACAAGGCTTGCCCTTCTCCCGTGCAACACAATCCCTGTCCGACCCATTCCCGATTCCCCGAAGACCGGCCGGCGCRCCCAGGTCCAGACGGAAACACCCTGAAGCAACACGACCTAAATCTCCGAAAGGCAAAGTGTCATTCTGCAGCGCTCGAAGAGGAAGGTGGAGATGGAAGCCAGGTGAGCAGCGCCGGCTTTAATGCGATTAGCAGTTTTGCAGCTTCAGGGCATGAAATCAAACGAGTTGTTCGCTGCAGATGTCTGAAATCATTTCTGCAGTGTTTCATGAGCTGCCAGTTAGATAAATTGCTTAACCTCCCTTCTCTCTCCTTTTTTTATGGTTTATTAGCAGAGCTCCGGCGGATGTTTGAGATTTAAAAATGAAAATCAAGCGTCTATCGTCTGGCATTTCTACTGGGTCACAGAGGAAAGGACACTCACTGGTGAAATGTGTTGCCGGAGAGCTGGGGTTGCTGGGAGTGGAATCCAGAGTGTCGGAGTAGCAGCTCTCCCCCTCCGAGTCCCAGCCTGAGCAGGCAGAGGAGAGGGAAGAGGGCGAGGAGTAGCACGGGTCCTCATCCACCTCCTCAAACTTCCTCTTCAGAAGCCCACTCATGGCGCCGGTGACAATCTGCAGAAAAAAAAAAAGAGCATGGACTAGGGTTAGAAAAGAAACAGCTTAAGCAATTAGTTATGGAATAACAAAAAAAAAAGGCTTAAGCTTCAGCTGAAGAACTGAACAAATAAAGTCTTTATTTAAAGTTCCAGAACAAAAAAAGCAGGACTTGTACAGTGCCTGAGCTAAAACTGTGAGGAGAGGATCCGAGTCTCAAGGCGCTCTCAGCGGCACAGGAAACAATCAATCACTCCCATTTGCCTAAGTCAACAATTAGTGGACCCTTCACCCTTTTACAAATCCCATCAGCTCAGCAACTGAATTGATTAGAATAAAGACCGAACAAAGGTGACCCCAACCATCCAACCACTACCATTTCTGTTGTTTTCTTGAGTCAGCAAATTTAACCAAAGAGGAATTTGCCACTTGTCGTATGTGCATTGAACATAAGTTCATACAAGCAAGTAGTCTTTTTTAAAATGCATTAAAAAAAAAACATTTTCACCAGGAGGTTTCTCCTCTAATCTTTAAAAAAAAATCGCCTCGCATCTGTAATATAAAAGTTTCAGATGACATGTTTCATTTCTACTCCAGTCAGTTAATGAGTAGCTCAAAACTCCAGCAATTCCAGGAAAAAAAAAAAAGGGGGAGTTCGGAACTCAACGTGAAAAATCAACACGGCTTGCTGAACAGGAATTTGATTATGATGGGTTACACATGTAGCTCCTCACACGCTGGCAGGGTGAGGGTGTTAGCTAGACAGGATGGGGTGTAATCATCATCATCATCATCATCATCAGATTCTGACCTCCTGCTGGCCTGAAGCGGGGAGGGGAAAAGCGTGAGGAAGGATGTGAGGGGAGTGGGGAGGCATGACTGGGCCCTGCTCCAGGACAGACACTCCCTCTGATGATGCAGAATGGGAGAGAGAGGCTTTACCTCAAAAAAAAAAAAAAAAAAAATTCACCATCAAACTGTTTTCTGACTTCCAAATCACTTCCAGCTGCCATAGCTGGAAAACGCTGCTCAATGTTTTGCTTATTTGCAGCTTGAAATGTTCAAATACTGTCATGGTAATACCTACAATCTAAAACCAAGTGTTTTTTTTCCCTTCTTTGTTTTGGAATAATTCTAAACTGGAGATCTTTGCATTTAAATCTCACCAAAGTCGACATGTGGTAAAGAAAAGACAACTCGGACACACAACCACTGTGCCGTCATGCCAACGACTTACTGTAAACTCTCCCTTAACCTCTTTAATGTGCCTTAGGCAAGACACAACCAGTCACTTTACAGGAACTTCCACTCTGTGTGACCTACATGCATGTCTCTTCTTGTCCGAATGTTACACCGGTGTCAGCAGTCCAAGAAGAAAATAAAAAAAGAAGTTAAAAAAAGGGCAGGAKTTTGTTTTCAGCCTTCTGCAGTAGGTCATTATGCAAATGCAGACAAAGATAAAGATGCTGGGAGTCAAGGGCAAAGAGGCGGACACCTTCGTGCCAGCACTGTTATTGTTATTGCTGCAGTCAGATACTGTTGCCGGTAAGACACGCATGATAAATGAATCACCTTGCGATAGGTCAGGCCGGCTCATACTCCCAACAAAAAGGCCTTCRGTAAACGGTAGCCACCACCAGTTTCACATTATAGTTCAAAACAGGGGGGAAAATGCGCCACTAAACTCCCCCCCTCCTCCACGAATGTACTTGAGCGCAAAATCATCTCCAAACGCCTCCTCCAATCGCAGCGGGGAGTCCACATTTGGGAGCACCTGAACGCAGCATCTGTTGCTCACTGATCAGACATGTGTGTCCCAAACGCTGCAACATAATATCTCTACATGGAGCGGGGGGGGGGGGGTTCACCTTACCATCATTTCCCCACTTTAGAAAAAAAAGAAGAAGAAGAAGAGGGAAAACAAAGCTTTGAGGCATTCTCGAGGGAATACATAGAGCCAGCTAAGCAAAGTCTTTTTAATTAAAAGCTGCAGTGAGACAGAAGGGGGGGTGTGTGTGGATGGGAAAGAGGTAGGAGG